TGTATTTTCCCTCCAAACGATTTACTGTTTTCTAATGTTCAAGACTATAGGAATAAGGAAAGGAGGGCAGAGCAAACACCATATACCCTTCGCAGTAAGAATTCACTCTATGCAGTGCTATCCTGATTTCTTCTTCAGTTGCTCTTCCTCTCCCTGTCCCTCTCCATGTCGGATTTCAAAACTCATGTAGTACTTGCCTGTGCTAGTGAAGGCAAATCATAAGCACCATGTATTAAAAATAAGGATGAAAATCTTTTCCTTTCTTTGTTTTTTGTTTTTAAAGCCAGTTGTCACTTATAGGATAAGCACTGGACTGCTAACCCAAAGGTCTGTGTTTCAGGCCCACCAACCGCTTCTCAGTCACATGGTCACTGTGAGTCGAAACCAACTCAACACTTAACAATAACAATCCAGTTTATTCATTGAGATCACTCAAACATTTCTATACTAGTTCAGTAGATGAAGTATTTTTGTATTATTTTACCTTAAACAGCAAAGATACTATAACACTAGACTTTCATTTGCTTTTCATCATTATTAATAACTAGTTGTGCAATTAAATTTATTTGTCACCTTTTATAATCACCAGCCCTTCCTCAGAAACCCTATGCAGGGTTGCTATGGGTCGAAACCAACTCGACGGCTCCTAACAGTATAATCTGGGAGCCCCTCAAAGTGATCCTTTTCCAGCCACTTTTGTAAACCCCAGACAGAGCCAAGACACAGGAGGTGTGTAGAAAACAGACAGGGAGAGACTGTTCCCCAAAGCACAAGGGCTGGGTTTACTGGTGAGGCCAGAGAAACCCCTTTAAGGCCTCTTTACTCTCACTTTATGTTCAATACCCATAAGCCTCCAGAATAGAAAGCAAAGAATGAGGCTTCTCAGGCAGGCATGCCACATTCGCAGTGACAGCAAACCAGCTGATGGCAAAAGAGGAGACCAGATAAACGTGATGGAGCACCTCAGTACTTTCCTTTCATTTTCACACAGCCCTGTAAGGTAAAGCTAAAATCTGCTCAGGGTCATGGAGAAACAAGGCATGGCTGGGGTGTGAGCCAGACACTTTCTAGGGAGATGCAGGGAGGATGCAGGTCTGGAATCAGAGAAACTTCTGGAACCTGCTGGGCCTTCCCTATACAAATGCACATATTACAATTTGGGCATTTATTATAATAAACCTGAGTGATCATGTTGTTAGCTACCATCAGGAGTCGGCCACTGACTCAAAGCAACCCTATTGACAATAGAAGGAAACGTTACCTGATCCTGGATCGTTACCATTCATCAGTTGCAGATGGGATTCATAGGGTTTTTATTAGCTGCTGTTTGGAAGCGGATAGCCAATTGTTTCTTCTTAGTCTGTTAGTCTGGAAGCTTTGCTGGCATCATAGCAACACTCGTGTCTCCACCAACAAAGGGTATTGGCTAGGCATGGGCCAGAGAGACTCAAAGCTGGATCACCCGCATGTTGTATGCCGTTGAGTTGTGTCCGCCTTATAGTGACCCAAGGCTAAAAATCTTAGCAAGAACAGAAAGTCTCATCTGTCTCCAGCTTAGCAGCTGGTGAACTTGAACCACTGACCTTGTTGTTTGCCATCCAGTGCTTATCCTTCAGAACCACCACATTCTGGGTCACCCATGTGGAAGGGAAGAATTCTCCCAGCTGAACTACCTCTGTCCCCTAGTGAAACATCTAACAGATGTGAGATCTGACCTTCGTTGTCAAAGGGAATTATAAATGAGTTCGGTTGTCAGATGGTGACATTTGTCAGTTCCGGTGGTGGACGTGACTGTGGGAACACAGCAGTGTACCACAACCCTAGATCATAGAGAAGAGGGAGACTCCGGAGCCTCACTCCCTGCTACACTGTTGGCACTAGAGACCCAGCTCTCCTCCCCATTCACTCTCTGTGTGGGTTGCAGCTGGGTCTTCGGGTGCCTTCAAGGCCCACAGAGGTGGCAGGAGAGAAGCAAGGAAGCTAAATGGCATCTCAACGGTGGGGGCTGGGCCCCGTAACCTTCCCCGGGAGCTGTATCTTCCAGGATGTCTAGTAAATTGTGGGTTCATGGAACGCCTTTGCCATCTTTACAGACTGCCTTTTCTTGGTTGCATTGGCTCCTACACATCCTCAGTATATCTGTTGAGTGCCTACTACATGCCCAGGTAGTGTTGCTCACTGGGGATATAGTAATGACTGGGCCTTTTTCTTTTTTCTTTCTTTTCAAGTCATTTTTTTTATTATTTCAAGTGAACATATCTTACTAATGTTGTTACATCTTGCCTTCCCCATCACCCAAGTTAATACATGTTACCCTCTAACCTGTGAATTATCTTCCCTTCCCTCCTACCCCTGGGAACCATCAAAGTATATTTCTTTTAGTATAAAAATGTTATCTTGTCTTTTACAGTAGTGGTCTCCTACTGTATTTGTCCTTTTGTGAATGACTGATTTGACTCAGCTTCATGTCCTCCGGATTCGTCCATGTTACCAGGTGTTGTGCAGATTCTTTGTTATTCTCCACCGTTGCATGGTGTTCCGTTGTGTGTGTGCACCGAGGTTTCTGTATCCACCTTCCATTGATGGTCATTTCGGCTGCCTCCATCCTTCTGCTGTTGTGAACATTGCTGCACTAAATGGCAGTGTGAACAGGGCCTTGTCTTGTGGAGCAAACACAGGAAGCTCAGGGTGGTGTCATTGCACAACTTTCCGTGATGGTGGTGTAAACAGTTAAGTGCTCAGCTGCTAAGCAAAAATTCAGTGGTTCAAACCCGCCAGCAGCTTTGCAGGAGGAGGCAATCTGCCGTCATGGAAACCTAGAGTTAAAGAAAGCCCTGCTCTGTCTGTCACATGGGGTCACTGGAGGTCGGAATTGACTCAACAGAACCTAACAACAATGACGTTACACGCTGTCTTTGGAAGGGAAGTCACACGTGTGTACATTTGGGGTCATCTCAGAAGGAACACTTCATCCCTCATCCTTCAGACATATTGTCAGGAGGGACCAGTCGCTGGAGAAGGATATCATGTTTGGTAGGGTGGAGGGTCAGAGAAAAAGAGGAAGACCCCTAGCTAGATGGATTGGCCAAGTGGCAGCATCGATGGGCTCAAGTGTGGCAATGATAGTGAGGTTGGCTCAAGATCGGGCAGTGTTTTGTTCTGCTGTGTATAGCGTCACTATGAGTCGGTACCAGCTCTCTGGCACCTAACAACAACAGAAGGAACAGTCTCCAGATCTCTTAGAAATGTATCCTCAGGCAGCAGGATTGGCAGGCACCCTAAGACATACCTCACCCTGGCCCGTGTCCTCCAGCCCTGTGTTCTCAAAGTCAGATGCTACATCTCCCACAGAACTCTCCAGAAGCCTCCCTCAGTTGTCTCCGGCTCCAAGTAACCCTCCCCTCCAATGATTGCTTCTCTCCTGAATGCCTACTGTGTGCCAGGCATGGTCAGGGAGGCAGCCACAGCCCAGGCAGCATCGTGGCCACACCCACAGGATGAGCAGGGGGTCCAGTCCTGTGGGCATGGGTCCGGCACTGGTCAAGGCACCTGCATGCTTTTACACGTCTTCATCCCCACAACCCCATATGTGGGACTAGTTACTATTCACACTGCAGGTAAGGAAGCACTGGGAGGTCAGACATAAAGGCATGAAGGAGGTCATCACAGACAAGGGAATGCACTGGACCCTGATAGAAATGTGTCATGGGATTGGGAGAATGGGGGGCGGAGGGGAGGGGAGAGGGGAAGGTTCTAAAACACCCTGATGGTGTAGAGCCATTCCTGTCTCAGGGTATCAGAGTGGAACTGTGGATCAGACGGTTCTGGAGAGCTAGTTTTTCAAAAGGAGATTACCAGGGCTTTCCTCCAAGGTATCTTTGGATGGATTCGAACCACCACTGTTCAGCAGGGGACCAAGTTACAGGAGAATCAGGAGACAGTGGGAGTTAGTCCACTGATGCAGTTCCGCGCTCCAGCTTGAGGATCTGATAGATCCCGACTCCCGTAATTCCTCCAGAGCCTGTTTTCAGCATCTGTAAGTAAAGGGTGTAAATATCCACTTTATAATGTTAGATGCAGTCACAGACGCAGACTGAGCACAGTGCCTGGCAGGTTGCGAGCTGGGTAAAGAGAGACTTCCTGTTCCTGAGTCTGTCTGACTGTAACTTGTTTCTATTGGAGACTGTCAGCAAGCATCTTTGTGGCCATATCTGTATCAGAATCGACTTAGTCACCCTCTCTCGGGACCCTCGTCAGGGTCTTGTATTTGTAGTAGGTGTTTGATGATAATTTGTAGATTGAATGAATGAGTGAGGAGATGCCCAGATGGGTGCCACCATGTAGCAGGCAACTCTTTCTGCTGAAAACGGACAAAAGAGACCTAACACAGTGGCTCCAGGAGAGCATCTGTGTCCCAACCAGCACCTGCTGCCCCACAGTGTTGGTGGGCTCTTCAGGACCAACACAGCTGGGTGTCTGTGCTTTGATCTGAGAAATGGAGTTTACAGTGCCGTCACTTGATCAGGAAGTTGTTTTCATGTCTCAGCCACACAGGCCGAGCTACAGTGCTACCCATGATGGGGTAGAAGTGGGGATGACCCAGGTGTTGGGAATTAGGACTGTATCTTCAAAACAAATCACCCGCTACCCCAAGGTTTCCCAACAGCTGGATTTCCTGGTCAAAGAAGCCACTGTTTGAACACAGGTGGGCTTCTGGTGTCTCCTCCATCAAACCAAAACACCAGGCCTGGGACTGTGGAGTTGATTCTGACACTTGCCTATCCCGTGTGTTCCAGAGTGGGCTCCCAAGGAATTTCTTGGCTGTCATCTTTACAAAAATCGATCACCAGACACCGCTGGGTGGGTTTGAACCAACAACCTGTGTTAGTAGTTTAACACAGACTTTGTGTGTGTGTGTGTCCCCTTCCAGGGACCTTGGGATCTCCCATCAGAGGATGTCTAATCGGTACCCCCTTTATGTCTCCCACCCCTGCCCCCAGGAATGGCATCACCAGCTGCCGGACGCGGACTGAGAACGAGCCGTCGTGTGGCTCCCCCGTGGTCAGCGGTGACCCCAAGGAGGACCACAACTACAGCAGTGCCAAGTCTGCCAATACCCGGAGCACCTCCCCGGCCAGCGACTCCATCTCCTTCTCCTCGGCCGACGACCACTATGAGTTCGCCACTAAGGGCAGCCAGGAGGGCAGCGAGGGCAGTGTCCAGAGCCACGAAAGTCACAGTGACACAGAGGACGACAGGAAACACAGCCAGAAAGAGGCCACGGAGGCCCTGGGAGACAGCGGGTTCACGTCCCAGCACAGGAAGCGGCAGCACCTGGCCAAGGCACGGAAGGTGGCCAGCGACACGCTGCCCCTCAAGAAGAGACTCACGGAAAAACCGCCGGAGAGTGATGATGAGGAGATGAAGGAGGCCGCAGGCTCGCTCCTGCACCTGGCAGGGATCCGGTCCTGTTTAAATAACATCACCAATCGGACGGCAAAGGGGCAGAAAGAGCAAAAGGAAGCCACAAAAAATTAAAACAAAAAAACAAGTCACTGATTTGTTTTGAACTTCCAGCCATTTGGTTTCAGCATGTCAGGAGATTTCTAATGATTTGTGGCAATATCAGCAATTTATTCATTTTGTTTTTCTTTTTCCTTTTTTTTTTTGGGTTTGGCTTTTGTTTCTTTTCTTTATGTTTTTTGTTTATTAATTTGCCCCCCTCCTTTGTTTTTTGTTGTTGTTGTTTGTTTGGGGTTTTTTTTTTGGGGACCCTTACGGATTTTCTTTTTAAAGGAGATTGAAGCCATAGGACTCATGTTGACACTGAGCTGTTTTACAAAAAGCTTTTCATTCTCTGAAGACAAAAGCGAAAAAAAAAAAAAAAAAAGCCAAAATGACCATTGCTTCCTCCAGCTTGTCAGAAACACATGGTGGAACCCACAGGGATGTCCCCGCTCATGCCACAGGGGACATAGCAGCGCCTCTCAGGCACGTGTGGAAAGTAGTCAGCAGATAGGCCCAACCCTTAGGTTTAAGAAGTCAGAACAGCCGTCTGATTGGGCTTGCTGAGTGAATGTCTGGGAGGGATTGGGGAGCAGGGAAAAATTCCATATCCAGCTAGGAGCCAGGACCAACCTTGTGGCATCCAGTTGTGCCGGACAGGCCTTTGGTGGGGACTGACCGCCACTCCTCTGTGCTTCTTAACTAGGAAGGCTGCTAACATCTTAGGGGGTAGACACAGGACTATTCAGATACACCAAGTGTCAGTGAATTGTGAGAAGAAAACTGGGTGAAATTTTAGTGATGTTGCTAGTCATTGAATTCTATTCTATATTAAGAGAATGTTCTAGAAGCCATAAGCCTGAAGGTTGGCCCTGAGTGCACACACCATACACACACACGAGAAGGGGTGGGGGGCAGTGTGTAAAAAAAACAATCCAACCACCCCAAATGCAGAAAACAAGCTTGTGTCTCCTAAGCTGCCCAAGGGAAAATCAGTCAAGTCCAAGAAATTAGAATAGCTGTAAAGGAAGGAAATAATGCGACAGATATTTTTCTGTCTGTCAAAAGTATTTGATCCAAGTGAAGGGGAAAAAAAAAAAAAAGCAAAACAAAACAGCTACCAAATCTGCCATTAGTATTATGGTATATTTTTTTTCAAAGGTGAAAGGCACATTGTTGGACACAATATAGTAACAAAATGACTCCTATACTGCCCTCAGTATGGAGTTTGCAACTATTGTCAGTCAGGATTCATTGTGGCAAAAATCAATGATTCCCCCATTCAGCCAATGTAGCCAGCAGAAATTTCTGACCCACAGTGCATGGATTCCTTTGAAAAAAGAAAAAAGAAGAAAAAAAAAAAAAAAAACTGAAAAAAAAAAATTCACAAAAACAAAACTTTTTTTTTATTCAAAAGTAACAAAGTTCTTGTAAGGTAAATACTGTATTTAGCATGAAGCATGAATTATTTTCATATCAATAGAGAAACTAGAGAAAAGGCTATGCCTCTAATTTTTAAGTCCCTAGGTTTAGGGTTCTTTGGTTTTCTACTTTTTCCTTTTCTTTCTTTCTTGTTTTTTTGTTTTGTTTTGTTTTGTTTTCCCCTTCCTTTATTTTTTTGTTTTGTTTTCCTGTCATTTTGGTTTGAATTTTTGAAGCAGATGTTTAAGGTTTAACCTTCTTCAGGGACAAATTCTGACTGTTGGGGAATCTACTCTGCAATATAAAATTCTCTTAGGGCTTGGATGGTTGAACTCTTGTACTGCCTTGTCTGTGTTCAGCCCCGACCCCCTCTAATTCTCTGTTTTTAAGTGTGTCCTTTCTCTCTGTCTGTACATGTTTAACATGACGCAATAATTTGAGGGCAAACTTTGTAGTGAGTGTGTCTGATAGAATCAAGAGAATTATGGGACGCGGACTGGAAAAGATCATGAGTGTGCTGTGGTTCTAGGAAAAAGGCAGTGGATAATTATGCAAATTCACCAGGAGGAGGGGAGACATGCTAATGGGCCTTATTGGATGAGGGCAGGAGATAGAACACACCTTAAGGAGGAAGTGTTACAGGTGTTGGAAAGACCAGCCCCAGAGTTCTTAAGTGTGACAACTGCCATTTGCAGTTGGAAGGAGGGACTGGCCATCCCCAGCACTACAATTCCACTCACGAACATGGAATTAAGACCACCTAGATTCTGAGAGCTGAATTTAGACAGCAGGACAATGGCATTAAGACTAGAAGTACCTGTTATCTTTGATAAATGTATATGGAGCTATGGTAGTATAGCGGTTATGAATCGGGCTGCTAACCTCAGGGTCAGCAGTTCGAAACCATCAGTGGTTCCGTGGGAGAAAGATGAGGCTTTCTACTTCCGTAAAGATTTACAACCTCGGAAACCCTATACAGGGTTGCTATGAGTCAGAACTGACTCCACAGCACATAACCACCACCACCACCATATATATATATATATAGCTCCAAAGGGAAATCTATAAAGGAATACCATCTTCCATCTAAATGGAGGGAAATTTTTAAAACACTACTATTAAGGCTCAGGATATGGTGGTGGGCAGAGTGAGGGAACTGGGGTGATGTTAAATTTTAAAAACCAGACAACTGTGGGCTGACTACCCATTCAGCAGCACAAGGTTAAAAGCTTCCTCCCTCAGGGCAGTGGGTCATGATAGCTGTTGCTTACTCCATCCTTAGCTTCCTGTGGGCTGCTGATGAGAGAACCTAAGAACTTACGCAACAATTTCCCTAAACCTGAATATCCCCCCATCCTCACCCGTGCCCTCAAAATGCCAGTTGCCATGGAGTAGTTTCCTGTGGCTCATGGGGACTCCCCACACATCAGAATAGAACTGTGCTCCACAGGGTTTTCAGTGGCTGTGTGTTCAGAAGTAAGTCACTGGTCCATTCCTATGAGGTGGCTCTGGGTAGACTTCAACCTCCGCTGTTCAGTTAGCAGCTGAGTGAATGAGCCATCAGTGCCACTTAGGGACTCCAGAAGCTGAACACTTCCATTATATTTGTTCAGGTTGTAGCTAGGAGTATGCATGGATTTCTGATGTGCTCTGTTCCCTCCATCTTCTCAAACATCTGACACCCCAAAAGGCAGCCACTCACAGCTATGGGAGCTGAGCAACACTTGTGTTATAACCAAGCCTAAAAGACCCCTTTCAGTCCCCACCCTCATCCACCTCCAAGATGAGAAAATTCCAACTTCCCTCCTGAAAGGTAGAGGTGAGCAATTGAGGCTGTGTCTAGTAGGGCACTTCTTCCTGTTCAAACTCCCCACAGTAGGCTGTCGCCCCTCATTTCGTTTTTCTAAAGGGGCCATGCCTCTTTCAGAAAATAATAAAATGCAAATGTGTGTGATTTACTTTTCTGATCTCTTTGAGAAATAGATAAATATAAAAGTGTGTTCTTAACTCCAGAACCACTCTCTTTGCATAAATACCTCATCGGGCAGCTTTCTAAGTGTTATTTTCAAACCAAGTCTCCCTGGGTACCCGAGTTGGAACTGCTGGAAGACTTGTTGGGGAAACTTTAGTGAGGGGTAATTTTTTCTATTTTTCTTCTGTTTTTGGAGGCATACACATTATGCATAACCAAAACAATGGCTCAGTTGTGTTTAACTTTGTATTTTAATTGTTGAGGAAAAAAACAACAGAAAGTATCAACATGTATGTCGCTGTTTGTAGTGAATTAATTCATTGCAGTATGAGGTTGTCCAATGTCCTTAAGGCATGGGGCGGGAGACTCCCTCTCTCACCCACTCCTCCAAGAGCAGTAGAGAATTTAAGCACAAACCTATTTGTGAAAGAATATTTTGCTTAAGTGTAATTCACTTTAGTCTTGGAATCCCTTCCCAAACGTTGGGTGTTCTTTTAGCTTCCAAACTAGCCTCTGTATCCATCCATCCATTAGTCTGACAGATGACTGAGCACTGCTAAGGCGTGTGGTGTCTTTTGGTTTCATCTCCGGTCGGGAGAAACGGTGATTCATGTGTCCTTCTAGTATCTCACATACTCACATGGGGGGGGTGGGAAGGGGGAGGCGGGGAACTATAGCAATATTCAAAGATGCTTTGGAAAACAACCATGAACACATCAGCACCGGGACATATACAACTACTTGCTATTGGTCCTCAGACACATTTAAGAGAAAGAGACTTCTCTTAAATGAGATACACATAGACAATTATTTTGAATCCTATTACAAATGTCTTTTATCTTTAGTACTACGTGGAAAGGGTTTGCATCATAGATTCTTTCCCCACCCCACACCCCAGCCTTATAATATACCATAAGCTCCTACGTCCCGCCCCCCTTCTAGAATGCGCAGACTCCCAGGAGGTCTTTGGTCAAGCTCTCTCGCTGAAACAAAAATGAACCAAGCCTGTGTTTAGATGGTTGTATCAGAATACCAAGGCCCACACAACCGTGGCAGGGTACCATCTTGGGGGTGAGTTTTTAAGAAGGCCATTACTCAAGTCTGAGGGACAGTTTCAGGCGGTGGCCTGAGGGGAGAAGGCTGCAGGCATGCTCTGGTGCCCAGCATCCTACAAAACATGGAGACTGCTCAGAACCGCCTAGTGCTGGCTCGCGTGCACAAAGCCTCATTTCTAGAACTTTGTGCTCTGCTTGCAGGCCTCTAGCCTCCTGCCAGAAGTTTCCTTGAAAAGGAATCAATTCTGTCTAGTGGCCTAAAGGAGAGGGTTTCTGATATGGGGTTGGATTCCATTCAATAGGATTTCTTTCTCCCTTTAAACTTTCTTCAAATTGGGACTCGTTTCTTTTTGGTGGATCACAGCTGCCCTGATTGGTTCTTAGGTTTCTGTAAGACAAAGTATTTTTCCTTTCATCTTCAAGAGTTTTGCCGCCAAAAGGAAACATTTGAACTCCATGTTCCCTGCCTCCCCCATTTATTGTGACCCACCAGTGTTGGCATATCGAGGAGTCCTTAGTGTTGTAGGCCCCAGCCTTCCAGTACTATATCAAACACTGTTATGCACATAAATGCAGCACTGTGATCTAATTTAAATAATACTTTTTTTATTATTTATACTACTATATATATAATAGACATCAACTCTTTTGCTATATAACCTAAGTGATAACCCACTTTTAGTTACCTGCCAAACCCTGGACTTTGGTTTATATCGCTGTTAACACAGTTACACAGTTGTAATGGTGTCTCTCTCTTTTTTTCCCCCCCCTCCCCTTTGT